ATTTAATGAAACATTAACAGATTTTTCAATTCTACATATTTAAGTTTTTTTTCTTCGTCTTTTATTCAGTCGACATCCGGTTATCATATACATCCTGGTGGGACGCATATTCAATCATTCACTAGACACCCACACTTGCGGTCCCTTCTCATCTCGGGTCAGAAGAACGCGAGACTCTTCGCGACAATAGACACTTTTGAGACCAGGGACAAACAGCCATGACCATTGCGAGACTCGAACCAGAGACACTTCGGACCGAAGTTTCCAAGTTGGTACACGCTCGTAGCCATCTCGGCCATCCAGGTCGGCTATTCAAAACTGACTTTTCAAATTATAAAGAAACATCTTGACAAAAAAAAAATTGTTCTTGAAATAAAATTAGCGGATTCCTTGTCTGGACATTTGCAAATTAACAAAGCATAAATGAGATAAACCAGATTTTCATGTAATTACCTATCTTTTGGCATTTCTTACCGTTCTCAAAACTATGATGTGGGCGAATCGACGGTTTCCTAACACAAAAGCCAATTTTTTGTTCCATTTTTTACATACTTAGTATATATTACATATTTTACATATTTTGATATTTTCACAAAATATTTTTATTCTATCAATTTTCCTCATTTGTATTACTTATTTTTTACAAAAAGAAGTATTTTCGAAAAAACGGTATTTTTCCTACATTATTGGTGAAATGTAGAAGTATCATGGAATGTATCATTGTCATCGTGACCTATAACTTCAATTTCCAAGGCAATTCGGCGATCACCACCGTGTAACATGTCGATGAAAATGTTGCATGCTGCAGTGATTGTTTTCTGTTTTCTGATCGTAGATTTTGCCAGATTCTAAGATTGCTTCTGTTGCGCCTTAAAATTTGTTTAGGAATTGTTTTATAAGTATTTTTCTCATTATGTAAATGTATTTTATAGCTTGTGTTTTAATATTACATATTATATCCAATTTTACATATTTATTACATATTCTTTCTATTTTCATTACATATTTGTGTACATATTTTGACGTTTTATTCTACATTTTCAGGTCTCTAATAATCAGAAACACTTTGCTCTTCATCGAATTACTGGTTCAAATTCTTCTAGAGATATTCTATTTCTGAAGATCAAATGACACATTTGCCACTGTTAGAAAATCGGAAAAGCAATGTAAAACCAGTCGAATTCTCAGTGGAGAACGGAGATTAAACAGAAATGGAATTTTTTCTTAGTTTTTCTTGCAATATTTCACTGATAAATTGAGTATTTATTTCGAATTACATCTTAGAAAAGGCCTGGAACCAATAGGGGGAAGAGGCTTAAAAGTACGATCGCTCGCAGCGAACAAATTCCCATTTCTTCTCGGTGGCCGCCGTTGATTCATTGATGAAGGACTCCGTCCGCGACAACAATCGTAGAGGTCAATAGTATGTGTAGAGCATGTAGATTAGCGGTGATACTTCTCCGCTAAATGGCGGCTGTAATTACCTACACGTCGGCTCGCTGTTTCCCCTATATTAGTATTTCGGCTCGCGGGCACCGCCGCAGCCTCAACAAGCTATCGCAAGCTTCCGACTGGTCTCCCGATAAGTATGATAGTGTACTGTTTTTAAAGTGTGTGTGTGTGTGTGTAAAGGGAGAGGAGAGGACGGTATGGTTGTAGATGTAATTTTTTTTGTTAATTACGGTCGCATCATCTACTAGGTCGTTAGTGCGTTTAACTATGCGTTGTGGTAACTATGAGGATGACACGAAAGGGTGATAAGAGGGGGTGAAAGAACGAACACAATACAACCATGCCGCGGGACTCGAACCCGCGGTCCTTTCGGTCCGAGATCGCTACGGCACTACTGCCATCCGGACCGGCAGGATGTAATTGTGTGTATAGAAAAAAAGTAGATAGGAGGACAAGAATGAAAAAGGAAATATTGGACGGAATCCGTGACCCATTCGTTGCGGTACTGCTCCCGTATTATCCTGGAGTAGAGAAACCACGCAAAACTACTTATCAAGCCATTCGAATTCTTCCTCAGAGAGCGGACAAACTCTTGAGTGGAAATCACACAACCGCTATCTCGAGTTAAAAAGGTGCTGCCGTCAGAACTCGATCCCAAGAACCACTCGCTAGAAACCGCTGTTTTGTCAACGGTTGCCCCAAGCCGTCTCAACCGTAAAACCACGAGGAACAACCGACCAGACCAGCCGGCCACCAGAGGTCTCCTCCAGCGAGCGCCCAAATTCTTGAGTCGAAACCTCACGACCACTAGCTGGAGTCGAAATCTCGCTGCCGTCGGAAGTCGTCCTCGAGGACCTCCCAGTAGAACCGCTGCTTTGAGAATGGTTGCCCCGAGCCATCTCAGCCGGTTTGATGGCCGTCGCAAGCGAAATCCGGTACGCTCGCCACGAGCTGCGTCATAGAAATTAACCGGGCCGTCCTCTGCTCCTCCGCTGGACCTTCGCTCCCGAAATCTCTTCCGCAGCCGCCTCCGCCGCCGCCGCCGCCGCCGCCGCCGCGGTTTCAGCGATATGCGGCGTTCGACGTGCGTCAACTGGTCGTGGTGGTCGCATTAATTGTGTCAAAGTACATCGCCCGCGGCCCCGGCTCGTGTTTGTGCACGTTCTGTTGAAATTCTGTGGCGGGGCGAAGTCCGAAATCGCATTGGCGAAGGAATAGATGGTGATGAGGAAGAGCTGAAATGGGAGAGGCAGGGAGAAGGGGGTGGTTAAGTTTTTGGAGGGGTTGGTAGTGGCGGGGGCGTTAATCATGAAAGCGATAACGGGTCCGTACTAGAATACTCTTCTAGGAACTAGAACGCAGAAGGAGTAGGTAAAGATGACAGTAGTCATGCTAAAAATATAAAACTACTAGTGCTACAACTGCATGAGCTTTCTGGCGGTATTGCTAATAGATATGTAATATTATAATATGACAATTTCTTTCATACACTTCAATTACCATTTCAAAAATTCTAAAACAAATGGAAAGTGAATAATAATTGTTTTTAATTCATACATTCAAACGAAAACAGCTTTGATTTCAAATTTAAAAAGGGCCACGACAAGGGTCCCAACCAGATCGATGGGGAGTATCAATATTGGAGAATATCGGCTGGACGGTTTAGCCGCTAGTTGTTGACGGACGGACGGACGTTCTGTCGTCAAACAACTTTTTGGTATCAAGGACCTACAAAACATGGATTCTGGCTGCTCCACATGTTAGTGGAATTTTTTTGTCTAAATTTACCAACTGGATTTATCCACTTTTTTTGTTATCAGGACCCAGTAATTATTTTTCTGCCCAAGTTTTTTGACGTTTATTTGAGGATCATTACATAATTTTATCTTATTAAGAACTTCCTTCTTAAGCGGGAGGAAGTGAAAATTGTATCTTCACAATTGTAGTTGTAAGAAAGCTCCGAATTTGTTTATTATTTTTTTTTTAATTTTCGCAAAATCAGGAATTTTAACGAACATGAGACCAGCCCCATTTTCTTAAGCGTTCTTTATGCTATCTGAGGTCCTAATTTAATCAAAAAATGTTAGGTTTTTAGGGTTAATTGATAATAGATGACAGTTGCTTATTAGAATTAGTTGAGCAAAAGAATGTTCAAGCAAGCAAATAAAAAAACTAAAAACTTACTTTTACTCAACTGATTATACAATACAAAATAAAGTGAGAGGCAATGCTAAAAAGGTGAAAGAAGTGATAACATCGGGTGTCGTATTGTTTACCGACGTCCCTGCAATATCGCGATAAACATTCTGAAGGTTTTTACTTACTTCAGTTTGCACTCAAATGATGAGTTAACAAGTAATTGACGTAATGTGACGCACCAGTGAGAACAACACACTACACTTTCTCTCCTAAACCCATCTGCTCCATCCGGACCACTAGGAGAGCGAAGTAATGCTGGTTGGGGAAACCAGGAAATACTTCACAGGAGGTGGAATGAGGAAGCGTGAGGTTTAAATGAAACAAACGATTGGTATGGCGAGGGATATTATAATAGGTGCGAAGAGGAGATGTTGGAGATTACAGAAGCAGGATTTTCGAGAAGCAAGGTTTGGGAAAAACGCAGGCATAGAGAAGTAGGGTAGAGGGAGAACAGATATCTGTAGACGCTGTAGTTTGTTCGGGGGGGCGGGTGGAGGCGGGGACGGCGGAGGCGGGGACGGCGGAGGCGGGGACGGCGGAGGCGTTTTCAGACCGAGCGAATACCAATAGCAAGAGAGAAGACTGATGGCTGAAGTGGCCGTGCAATCAGGGATTCGGTAGCCATGGGAACCAACCGCCACGACAGCTGGGGAGGCAGAAGTGTCGCCGGTCGGCGTGTGAGCGGGCGGCAGCATCTGTTGCCGCTAGAGGGCGCTAATTACGCGGGACTGGAGGCGTCATCCGGCAATCACATGAACACGGGCGTAAAAACCGACCTTCCTATCTATTCACCCCTCTCCTACTCACCTACGCCCTTTCCTTACCTCCCTTTCCCCGCCCCACACCTCACTGTCCGCCCCCACTACTCGCATACTCACCCTGTCTCACATCGCACCTTCGCCCTGTCCCATCACCGCTCCCTTCTTGACCTCGCTCCGCTCCACCCACTGCCGCCCCGCCCCCCTCTCATACCGCCGTACCCGTGCCACCCCACCTGTACCCACCACACCCCATGGATCCCCATCCTCTCCTATAATTTCCGCCCCGCCCTTCTCACCACCCTTTTCGCTGACTCCATCGCGTTACAACCCGTCTCGCCATCTCTCCTTCGCTCCGCTCCGCTCCCCCCTCCCGCACCGCTGCGCCAGGCCGCGTCCCGCTCCTCCTTCCCCGCGCACGTCACGGCGGCGGCGGCGGCGGCGGCGTGTGGTGCGGCGGCCGCGTGCGGCGTGCGCCGAGGCGCCCACCGTCCGTCAGTGCCGGCGGCGCCGCGTCCGCGTCGCGTGTTGCGTTGCGTTGCGTTGTGTTGTACTGCCGCTGCAACAGCCATGGGTGCTTGGTGTCCGCAGGCGGCGCCGGCGCCATGGCCGGCAAGCGGTGCTCGCTGTACCGCGACGAGCGCTACGAGCTGAACGGCGCCGAGTACTCCCTGGGCTACGGCAGCATCAACCGGGAGCAGGAGCGGCAGGTCATCCTCCAGGTACGTACGGCACGCCCTCAACCCGCCCACGCTACAGTTCGCCATTGGCTTCACGGAAATGAGCGATCGCATGCCAGTGCAGAGGGTCAGCAAAGAAGTCAAAAATCATGTTTTTGCTCTTTGTTTCAGTAAAGAGTTACTGTCATCTTTTTAGAACTGAGGACCCTTAATCCTAAGACATAGATTCATCATTATCGCTTATTGGATGTTTACAAAAGAATTTGGAGCTGTTGCCATATGTAATAGTTTCGCTGAGCCTGCGTAGTTTTCTAACCGCCGGGCCAACCTATAAAAATGTAGCGAACTTAGTTTAGTAGTATCTTTTGGTATCCCCAGGAAAAGGACCGCAAGTAAAGAAATTGTTCATATACTGATAAGAGGATTGACCCCGCATTATGAGCATCGGAAAAACTTTGGTACACGATTGCATAACAAAATATACAATATGCTTAAATAACCAGGATAAGCATAATTATTAAGTTAAACAAATTTATGTAATTCTATTACATATTTATTATTACCATCATTATCATGTTCGTCGTCTGCCATAGTCTATATTCTCTGGGATTCTCCTTTCCCCACCGGCGTGGGTCGGTTGGGGGAGAGATGTATGGGGTGCTCTCACTAACGCGGTGTCTGTTTTGGAAGAGATGATGGAAAAGGAAGATAGAGCGAAGTGTGTTTTCCTTTCTATAGATGCTTCATTGGCATTCACTAGGAACTGACCAGAAAACCTCAGAGATCAATGAAACTGCGGCCGCCAAAACGTGCTGACGTTCGGCACTTCAGCGAATTTGCTAGCGAATGGGAGATTGTGGGGTTAGTAATTTGCTTAGTCTGGTTAAACCATCTCACCTGCAATTCTGGTTTCTCTGTATATTGAAGTAATAGAAATGTTAAACACGTGTAAATTTAGAATGTCTTATAGAAGAGAAAGGGTTTGAAAGGTTTGGATATTGTATAGTTTTCGACGTTCTGAGGGATTGGAAAGCTCTCGTATTCCCGATTTGTGGGTTTGTTTTCTGCGCGGGTGTCGCGTGTTGTTGATTGATGTACACATCGAAGTCTTTTGGTAATTTTACGCTTTTGTTATCGCATAATAAGGGAACAAGTCGGAAAGTTTAAACAAAATAAGTTTTTCAGATGAAACTAGCGATCTCGCGTAATGCTCACAGAATATGCATTACTTTCCATTCGTATGTTTGATAGACAATATTAAAATAGGGTAATGAAACCAGTTTTAATCACCCGAAATTTTCGTCACCGAAGAACCCAGAAACCGTTTACAATACTGGCAATTTGCTTGTGTGAACACGCAATACTCAAATAAACAAATATAGTGCTGGAATAACAAAACCGAGTACTCAGTTATGTTACCGTAAATATTCATTATATACAAACAATTAGCTGCATGAAAAGCTGCTAGTGCCAACTAGTATTTCATTTGTATCAAGATCTTTTAAGATCATTACACGGGCTGCATCTCTTTTGGTAAAGCAAATGTACTCGGAAGCTATTAGAGGATGTTGGCGAAGGAAGATAAGATACGTTGTGGTTATGCAGAACAAGTCTTGGTTTTGTTACGAGACGTAATATTTCAAGGCATTTATGTACCATTAAATGTATAAAACAATCACTAAAAAACACCTTTGTACATCGGAACTTCAAACAAAAATTCAACATACATATACAATTGTTGATAGTGTCTTCAAATAAACAGAATGGAGTACAAGAGAAAACAAAACTCGCCTTCACCCTGAAGCAGATAAAGAATATAGCTGTTTTCCTGACCTAAATTCGTTTTTTGCCGTATTTATTAATCTTATCTCTGACGATCGTCCAAAGGCTACCAAAATAAAGGAAAAAATCGATCCAATTTATGTTTAGATCATATCTCCAAATTTGGTACCGAACTGTGGAGATGTTTAATTTTTTCATTATTTTATTTTTTAACGTCCACAAACAAGTTTAAACTGTGTGTCACGTGCCGGGAAGAAATAAGTCGTTTGAGATGAATTCTATCCGTGGATTCAAGAGAGGACTTATTTGGATCTCGGCCGCATCTGGTTGTATTCCTTCCTTTCAACTTTATAGACTTGCTTTACTCATTGCCATCCAATTTGTTTTAAGATTATTTCATTTTCGTATCTACGACTAATTTGAAAAGACCGGACTGTATTTAGTCCGTAATTTAAAGACTAAATCTTATTATAAAAGTCTGTTTTATATCAATATCTTACATAAGGTTATTTTCATCTTCATGCTAAATGTCAAAAACAAATAATTTGTCATCCAATTACATTGATCTGCGATTTGCAAGCAGAATATTTCGCAAATTTTCGTGTATTTGATGTATTTTTATTTATTGCGGCTATATTATAATCTAGAAAATATAATTACAATTTTTGCTACAAAAAGTTTAAATGATGAATTTATATCCTTAAAAATTCTTTGAAATTTTATTTCTACCCCTACATTTGATACACTCCAAATTCACTGTATGTATAATGAAATCAGTACTGTAATAGATTTATATTTATAAGTATTTAGTCAAAAAAACTGTATGTGACGTATGGGGGAGAAGATTAATAAATTATGACAATAAACGAGTGTCCTGCACATATTTGTACTCTTACTATAAATGTCGAACACAGGAAAAACATGATCAATATCTAAATAATGTAACAAAATTAAAATACACAACAAATACTATAATTATTTTAACGATAAACAGAAATGTAAAATGTCAATCACCTATTTAATCCCGTTAATGTGATACGTATGGTGTATTATTGGCATACCTAGTACCAATAAGTTTATTGTCTACTTGGCCCATATCCACACAACCATTTATCTATAATCAGTATAGTCCAATGTTCATGGAAATTAACCATTTCCACATTGCATTTGGCAGTTAGATTCACGCGTATACAGATTGTTACTTTCTGGCGCAAGACACAATCTCGGTATCAAAGCAGTGGATTTTAGGTTCAAGAGGACAAGAAACGAAAGCCTGTTTACAAAAGTTCTCATAACGATAGAGTAACGAGGGAGCGACGGCGTGTTCATTTGGAGTCATAAAATGCTGACGTCAACTACACTGCAGGCACTGGCTCATGTGACGCGAAGGGATGCGAGAACTCCAATGGCAGTTAAATGCATAACACCCCATTCTGGAAGCGATCACGTTTCCTATGTAACGTACTCGCGCGAGTGAGACTCCGGTTTTCGAGGAAATCGTTGTGTTGTACCAACCGTATTAACCTTACTACCAAGTTAGCATATAATGTACTCTAATAAAAACGGGCATTTAACTTCAGACATATTAAACATTTAGTTTAACATTTTCGCACAATTTAGCAAATAATTTTTAGGTTATAAACTGTAGTAAATGTACCATATAAAAACATTTTCACACGCCCATAGGTCCTTTGAATATATTAAGACTATGGCAAAGGTAATCAATATATTAGTATAACATGTACATTTGTAATTATCTTCTCCTTTGCAAAACAAATTGACATTTTTTAACCACGAATATCTGAATGGCGTTGGTTGGCGCTGGGCCCAGGGCCCGGCGCTGGGCTCGCACGTTACACAAGAATTACCGACTGTACGATAAGGTGCAATTAGTACTACACTGAATGTTTCCGGACACTTAAAGATAAGGTCGTTAGATTTGTGGAAACTGCGAGATTTCTGCCGCGGCTGCCTTCATTACAATTTGATGGAGTCTTGGTGCATTAATTATGAGTGTTTATTACCCTTTTTAATTTATCTTTTTTACGCTACACACTGTCTCAACACGGATAATGCCACATCGAAATTCAGGTCATCTAAAAACAAGTCACTAAACGTCTTGAAGAAATGAGACCGGAAAATAGGAAAGTTAAATAAAATTTGATCTTGCTAAATCTTTTATTTCTGCAGTTTTGAATGAATTTGTGTCATTCTCATATTTTGAAGGGTCATGATTTTAAATCGGGACTATATCTGGTATGCACAGGACATCGAATAGATACGTAGAGAACAATAGAAAATTGTCATTTTTATTTCAAATGACGTGAATTTCTAAACAATTACAACTGATGCATTTGCAAATCTTTTTTTTTCGTTTCTAAAACAAAGAGTACAAAAATTTTGGCTTATCAAATTGATATTACCCACGCAGAGAAACCAAATCAATGAAAGAATTATAGCACAGTGTAACCGATTAATGTTTTTGGAAATATAAGGAAAATCTGAAAGTACTCTTTTCCTATATTCTCGGATTAAAATAATGTGGAATAACGCTCACAAAGCAACTGATCAAAGAGTCCAAAATTCTATTTCTTAACTTGAACATGTAATTATTCTTCTAAAGATGACATAGCGTGTATTGATCACACATTATTTTGAATAGAACAGAAAGTTTAGCTTACCAGACTTGCGTAGAGGCTCTAGACTGAAAGTTACTTGCATTCTCCGAGAAGTTGAGCCCGGCGAAGGGAGAGTCACAGATGCATATGGAAGGAACCGGTCCCAACTTCAGTTCGATCCACAAGGAGCTGCAACAGGAAGGATAGAGTTGGCAACTGATAATTCTTAGGAAGTGTGTCTTACCACACTTATAAATTCCGATTCGGGACGTTATGTTCACCTGACCACCACAAAACACAGTCGTCTGTGACAACTTGATTTCTTTGAACAGAATAAGGGAAATCTTGGCTCTCCAGGAAACGCGTTAGACAAGGTTGCCGACCGCCATTCCCCTGCCTTTGCCATTGCGTAAGACGTATCTCTCATAGCCAAGGTTTCACGCATCTCAAACATGGAAGCTTTTCTCCACAAAGCTATCCTGGAAATGCCAGCCATTGTTACCGTTCACCTCGGCGCGGCCTCTGCGAGCACTGCATTCTCCTCTGATAAGGTGTAGCCCGGTAGTCAACACGTCCTCGGACACGAAATCTCGCCCACATAAAGAAGGGGATGCAGATGAGAAAAGTACCCGAATCTTAAGCTGAGTTTATCACCCCACTGGCAGTTCGCAACAGTCGTACAACGACGGGGACTCTTTTCCGTGCATGGGAGAGCACATCGTTAAGGGTCAATTTGTCATACAACATAATTAAGTGCTGCAGAACTGGCATGTGAAGTTTCTCTGTTTTTCTAAGAGGGTTCATTGCTGTGCCATAGATCTTAACTAGTCATGTCTACAGCGTCTAGACAATTGTGATACCTAACATCCGTTTAAACATACACGCTGGGGATTCCCGACGGTTTTATCCGTTTCGTATTTCTCGCCCGGACAAACGCCAGAAATATACACGAACCGAGGGATACAACTAAAAGGATGTAAATCCATCGATCCTCATTTTATCCAGGCTACGCTTTCGTGCCCACTCGTATCCTATAGGTCTGTGCGTGCAACCCTGTTTCTAATACGTTCGTCAGAGTAGGTTTGCTAAAGTGATTTCTATTGATTTATTTTAGTCAATGGACAATTCAACCTCTGTGACTTGCGAGGTGAAAGTCTAATACATGTTTCAGTGAACTCCAGAAGTTCTTCCCCACCATATTACAACACAATGTCCAATGATAAATAAAAAAGTGCCAACAAAGCAACGTTAGCAACATTTAAAAACTAGATATTTTCGCTCGCATTTCCAAACACATTTGTATCAGTAAGCGAACTACAGATTTGCTTTTTTAATACCACAACCCACACCCCTGACTCTACTATTATACCACCACATCTAGAAAAACTATAGCTCAACAGAACATCTGCATAGTGAAGCTACACTTCTATCTAGAAAGAAAACAAGGAGCCATCAAAGTATTTGATCAGCGAATCAGAAAAATAAGGAATATGATCGAAATGGGCCATTGACACAGAGTCTGAAGTAAAGTATTTCTTGTTTCCATATTTAGCCTTTCAAAATATTAGATTAATATCATTAACTAATGTATTACATATCATAGTGCTCGTGGAGCAACTACTGCGTGTCTACGTCCGATCCAGAACTTCGAAGCTGGCGCAGCACTCTTCGTAACGGGCAACTAATAGTGCGCGATCTACCTTTCACATAGTTTCACTTATTTACTTCTTCAGCAGGGTGGACTTTCAATGGCTTGAATATCGTAGTATTTTTACTATTATACGTGGAGATCCTTGACGTTATGAGATCAACATCGCTGCTCCGTTTGTTAGATATTGTTTAATTTAGAATAGGCTTCATTTAGTACTTACTTAATGAATGCTTCAATATAAAAATGGTTTGAATTTTCGTTACCATATGCTTAAGTGGGGAAAATTCATTTTTTTGAAAACATGAATTTTATTCCGCATGAGTGCACATCAATACTTTCTAGATAAAATTTTTGTTAAATGAGAATTATTGAGAGCAGTATAAATTTCTCCTAAATTGCGGATATGTTTTTATTAAGTTCACATGTAGCTCCTCATGGATCTGAGAATTGGGTTTACAAAATTGGGGCGATTCTGTTTTATTTACAATTGAAAGGCTGTGAGGTTAATCTTTTATCAAAAAGCACACCAAGATATTTAATTGGACCGAAATTGCATTGACTCGTGCTGCTATTGATTGTTACGTTAGGGATGTTCTATGACTTTGAAGTGTAAATATTTTTGCTTGGTATTTTTGTGTGTTAATTTTCATTCTCCACTGATCTGTCTTAGTTTTCTAAGATTATTTTGAATCCGGTCTTGATAAATATGTCTTCATGTGCAATCTTCCATTCCGGATAGCTGGCTATACGGGGACGCCTCGTCCTAGGCACAGGTGCCAACGTTTCGGCCACCATTAGGCGTCCTTCCTTAGGGCTAAGTGCATTGAATTGAAATGCATTTCGCCCGAAGGAAGGTCATAGAATGTTGGCACCTGTGCCTAGGACGAGGCGACCCCAAACAGCCAAGTACACTATGTGATCAAAAGTGTCCGGACACGTGGCTGAAAATGACTTGTCAGATCGTGGTAATACTAGAATTCAATAGGGTGCTGGCCCGCCCTTAGCCTTGATGACAGCTTCCACTCTCACAGGCATATTTTCAATCAGGTGCCGGAAGGTTTCTTAGTGAATGGCACCCTATTCTTCACGTAGTGCTGCACTGAGGAGAGGTATCGATGTAGGTCGGTGAGGCCTGGCACGAAGTCGGCGCTCCAAAACATTCCAAAGGTGTTCGATAGGATTCAAGTCGGGTCTGTGCAGGCCAGTCCATTACTGGGGTGTTATTATCGAGTAACTACTCTGCCACAGGCCGTGCAGTATGAACAGGTGCTCGATCGTGTTGAAAGATGCAATCCCCATCCCGGAATTTCTCTCCAACCAGGAGAAGTCAAAAGGTGTTTAAATCATCAACGTAGGCCTGTGCCGTGATAATGCCACACGATACAACAAAGGGTGCAAGCTCCCACCATGAAAAACATGACCACATCATGACACCATTTTATGCGACCGGATACTTATGATCACATAGCGAGTCCGGCTCCCCTACCCTTCCCGATCATTTCATTCTCCCCGGCAGTGAAAGAGTTCTACAGCGTGGGGGTGGGTTGCGCAGGACGACGAGGACTCGGACGGCGGGCTGGCGATGCGCGCGTCGCCGCCGCCGCCCGCGGGCGAGGCCCCGCCCCCGCCCGACGCCTTCTTCCGCGACGGGCGGCGCCGCATCGACTTCGTGCTGGTGTACGAGGAGAGCGCGACGGCGCGCACCGGCAGCCTCATAAGCGGCCGCTCGGGCTCCGTCAGCTCCTCGGCCGACCCGCACGGCAGCGCGTCCGGCAACTTCGTCTTCGGCGGCGGCGACAAGCGCGCCAACAAGCGCGAGCTCTGGCGCCAGCGCTTCATGGCCAACCTGCGACGCACGGGGCTCGACATGGAGGAGGTACGTGCGCTCGCGCCCACGCGTGGGGCCAGGCTGAGAGCAACGCCGGCGAGGGAATCGGGGAGTCATGAGGGACCATCGCTGGGTAGCTTGATCCAAGGAGCGATACGGCTGAGGTACCTTAAATTCATAGAAGATTGGGAGGGGCGGAAGCGG